AAGTCACAGGGACGTGTGTGAAGGGAGTAGAGGGGCAGACAGAGGCAGTCACCAGCAGAAGGCAGGTGTGTGAAAACATAATGAAACTGAATCTTCTCTCTAAAAACAGGGTGTCCATTGGGTGCCTACCCTGGGCAGAAAGGCCTTTGCAGCAGTCCCCCACCCCCACCCCCACCGCATCCCACTCTCCCCCAAATCAAGCTGGTACATGGAGAAAGCTTGGCCGAACATGCCTGAGAGACACAGCCATGAAATCCCCCTGCTCCACGATCATGAAGTACTGTTTCCTTAGAAAGCCAAAGCTTCCGGGAGTCATAATGACAAGCATCGGTCTGGGTCAGGTGGACTGGGTTTGAATCTCAGCTCTGCCATTTTCTCGCCAAGAGGCAGATCCCTTGCCTGACCTAAACCGGTTTGCACTTCTATGAGGTCTATTCATTTGACGAATATGTACCCAGTGCCTACTGTGTGCCACGTGGTGCTCTAGGTGTTGGAGCTACGGCAGCGAGCACAGGGTGGCTCCTGCTTTCACCGGGCTGACATTTTAGTGGAGGTGGAGGGGCCTGCAGTGGACAAAGGTTGTGTCGGGCAAGGAAAAAGGCTATGGGAAGCGGGCAGGGCAAGGACACGGAGAGCGGGCGGGAGGCACCGGCAGCTACGTCTCGGGCGCTCCAGGAGAGCTTCTCTGAGAAGGGGGCGCTTGAGCAGAGACTTAAATGAAATGAGGGAGTAAAACCTAGGATGATCCAGAGAGAAGAGGAGACTCATGTACCTGGGAGAGTTACTGTTCGGACAAAATGATGGAAGGGTATAAAGTCTAGCACCCGGCTTATAGGAAGCAGTCGATTACTGTGACTATGATTATTACTATCATCATCATCTGTAAGGAATGTTGGGATACAATCCATTAGGAAACCTGAGCTTATTACATTCCCTTCATTTTGGGGGAGGCAGTGAAATGTTGCAGCTTGGGAATGCATACCTTTGGGGATGTATAGCTACAGCCGGTTAAAATGCAAATTGCCACCTGGCCTAGGTTCCCAGGGCTCCGGCAGTCAGCCACTACCACTACGAAGGACATAATAACCCTAGGCTCCTCCAGCAGGGAGAAGCAGCCAAGTGCAATTTCCCACCACCCAGCTCCCGCCCCAGGCTGATTCAGTTACTTGAACTATGAGTTTCCCATGTCTAGAAAGAGCTCTGAGAGCCTCTTACCCCTGGGTAAAGGGAGGGTGAGAAAGCAGAGAATCTTGCTAAGTGGAACTCAAGGTCTTTGTTTCTCCACGCTGAGGTCAGGCATCTGGACAGTCAATGTGTATGAATGGATGGGTGAGAGAGAAACAGGGGCGGGGAGAGGGGAGGGGGCGGCGGAGAGAGAGAGAAGCAGACAGACAGACACCCTGATCTGGAATAATGTCACCATTCCAAATGTGCCCGAGCTGAAGAGCGAGAGCTTTCGACTTTTTGTCCCAGCTCTAGAATAACCAGGTGACAGCCAGCCACTGGGCCAGTCACAGTCTCTCTCCGAGTCTGCATCCTGTTCAAGGGCTCGGTTCCCAGAGCCAAGGAGATCGAGGTTGGATTCTTAGCTCTGCATGACCTTGGGCCGGTTATTTAAACTCTTTGAACCTCATTTGTGAAATGGGCAATTTCTCATGAGGTAGCTAATGGAGTGGTGCATGGAATATAGTAAATGCTCAATAAATAGTATATGTCAGCATTTTTACCGGCCAAATATCTGTCTCACCCTTCTCATGGGCTGTTCAAAAGATGAAACAAGAGATGAGGAAAGAAAACACGTTGTGATATAAACGGCACTTTACAGCTATCAGGTGTTATTTTAAAATTATCATCATGATTATTGTTTTGGGTATTAAGATACTGAGCAGTAGATAATGTTTTCACAGAAGTGCTCCTCACAGTCTCTCTGGGTAACAAGGGATTGGATTCGAAAGGCTATCTTCCATGAAAAAGGGGGAAAAATAGCCACAGTCTTAGAAAAACGAAGCTTCCCAGCCCTGAAACAGAACAGGTTCATTACTCAGTGAGGATTAATTAGCTGTCGGGTATTATTAAACGTTCTCACTCTCAAGATCCATGCAGAACTGAAAACTCTGAAAGGGAGCGGGAGGTAATCATAGTATGGGGAAGAAAAAAAAAAGTCACAATTGCTGGCAATGCAAATTTCAAGAGCAGAGCATGTTAGTAAATTATAGTCTGATTAATATCACGTCAGCTCATTCTCTGTTTGGAGTCATTGTTCTGAATCTACAGTCTTCAGGGCTGCCTGGTTTTTTCTTTCCCTACCACTGGGATCAAAAAGGAAAGGAGGTTGGCCTTTCCAGGGTCCGCAGGGAAAGGATGCTGGAGTGTGGCTATTTACCCTGAGAAGCAGGATAATTGAAAGCCAAGGAGAGCAGTGGAGGTGAAATCGGACACGAGTATTTACAGTATTATAGCAAATGTGTCTCCCAAGTTGGTACAGTAACTGTTGAAATGATTGGTCGGGAACAGAGGCTCATAAAAACAATAGCTGGAAGGAGGTTTAGAGATGATAGAGCCCAGGGACCACCGACCACCTTGTCTCCACCATCTGGGCTCATACTCAAAATGCGGACCCCTCTGGACCACGCCACTTGCTGAAGAGAGTCCCTGGGGCTGCATCCTGGGAATCCGTATTTGTAACTAAGACCATTGTCACAGAACCGCTGCCCTTGTCCAGCCCTCGGCCGCTTAGAAACTGAGCCTGGAGAGAGCAAATGTGATTCACTGGCGCAGGGTCACTCATCTGGTTAGTAAGAAAATAAGGACCAGAATCAGGATTTTCTAACTCAGCCCCACGGTGGGGCCTCCTTCTGTGTATAACAGGTACAGGTCCACTTCCCAACGTTACTGTCATCCTTGGGGGACAGGCGATTTCTAGTGGAAACTTAAAGCGAGGCCTTCTCTCCTCTTCATCATGGGGATGGCATCTCCGGGGCCAACGACAGATACAGGAAATGCCACAGGACGTCATGGGCAACGAGGCTCATTGTACGGACTGCGGATGGCAGCTGAGAAATCCCCTCCACATAGCAAACAAGGGCAAGGTGACACGTAGGCAGAAGTTCACGGTGTAAACTTCCCCGTGGCACCCAATCCACCTGCTTCCCTACAGGGTTATAAAGTCCTGAGGGCTGAAAGACTGTCTTACTCCTTTTGTATAGCTAGCATAGCGTGTGTCACTTAGTAGAGATCAATGAATAGTTTGTAAATACAACAGTATAAAAAGTATATGACAGGAAAAATGAATATGAATTTTTCTCATATACATAGGCCTATTAACAGCAGGGGGCAATAACAGTCACCATAATAATGATGATAGTAACACAAAAACGACAGCAGGGAACTCACATTACTAAAAGCTTCCTGTGAGATATGACAGAGGCTAAGCTCTTTATCACACACAATACAGCACTGAATCCTCACAACAGTCCCAGGAAGCAGTGACTGTCATTGTTCCTGTTAGGTAGATGCGACATTAGAGGCACAAGGAGTTTAAGTGACGTGCCCCAGGTCACCAGACACAAAGCAATGGAGCCCAGTTCTAACCCAGGACAGACAGACTCAATGTGTATACTCCTCAGCGCTCTACCCTGCAATCCCCAAAGCATGTGCATTTGGAGCATCGCCGTGGTCCAGTGTGGTGGACCTGCTGGCGGTCCACAGGCTGAACGCACAGGCTGGCAAGAGGAAGCCGAGTAGCCAATGCTTGCTGGCTCAGAAAGGGCTCAAATGAAGACCAGATACTCATTTAGCACAAAGTAAACACGTGACAGCCTAGCACTGTGGCCAGTAAAGAGTCTGTGCTCACACTGCTTCCACTCCATTAACAGATGAACAAATGAACACACAAATTAGTGAACAAATAAACAGGCAAGCGAATCAGATGCACAGCAATCGCTCAATTCCCATATCAGCTTCTAAACCTGGGGCGACAACCTCTCTTCCCCAGATGTGCTGCACCGTCCCTCTTCTCTGTTTTGGGTCTCCGTAAGCGCAGCTGTTGTCTGGAAACACGTTTGACACGGTTTGGAAAGTCCCTAGAGGCTAGGGCTGGTCCCGACATGCGCCTGCTTTCCTGCTCACGCTGAACACACCCCAAACTAAACTCATTACCCAGCCTTGAACCAATTTAACCTGTATCTGGAGAGCCCTCCCTTAAAGTCCACTTTTGGAAATCTATTTTTAACACCACTTGCCTATGAGACCTTTCCTGGTCTCCCAGAACCAATGTAATTTCCTGTCCTTTGATGAAACGGCAACTCTCTCTGAGTCTCACTGCATTTATCTCCCTCTATTTAGTGTCATAATCATTTGTATATTAGTCCTACGAATCCCCTTTCCTTCCCAGACTGCATTTCTGGAGGGCAGGAAGGCAGCTACTCAGACTAATAGCAGAGATCATTCACGGAGTCCTTGCCATGGGTAAGAGCTTTCCGCCCTCCCTGCGTTTCAGTTTTACCCTCATCTATCCACGGGCAGTGAAGATAAGGCTCACTGTTTTGCATTTGGAAAAACTAAAAATAACCAGCATGACTAACGCTCAGAAAAGTTAAGTGCCGATGGGAGACACTGGTAAGCGGCAGAATTCGAACCCAGCCTTGTTAGATTCAGAAGTTTGTGTTTTGAATCACGTCTCCAACCTTCCATCTGGGTAGTCCCGTTCCCTGTACCTTGGGTACAGAAGGCGCTTGAAACATTTTAGGGAATGCGAACAGGCAGAGAAGCTAAGCATGGAGTGGCACATGGCAGTGACTGCGGGCCACAGGGAATGCACGGAGTTGTGGTCAGTGGAGCCTGGCACCCGTCCAGAGTCTCGGGTAGGTTGTCTCTGCTGGATCGCCCTCCCTCTCCCATCAGAGTTGCCACCTCCATGGCACCCAGCATGGGGCCCACCTCAGGAGCCCTCACCTTGACAGTGGTAGCCAAGGACTCCCCAAACCAGATGCTGGACTCACCCGCAAGGTTGTGATGGTGGCAGGGTCCCGAAGCCGGCCCTCCTCATCTTTCAGATTGTAGCCTTCCGGCCTCTTGTCACGCTCGCTGACTTTCCACAGCTTCACAGTTTTGTCTGTGGAGGGCAGCCAGAGGACATCAACGTTACGGTGAAGGAAAGCTGGGAAAGGAATTTTTTTCCTGGGTGGGGGAGGGGGCAGGACCGGGATAGGCAGAGGCAGCAATGGAAGAACGGCCACGGAAGCTGGCTCCGGTGCAGACGGGCTGTGGTGCACACCTCTTGTGTCCCTGGAAGGCAGAGGTCATGTTTCCAAACAAAAACACGTGCCACGTGGAGACAAATGGTCGTCCTCACAGTGGGCTGTGAAATCGACAACTTATACATTAATTTCATTCATTCCATCAAAATATTTATTGAACACTGAATAATAAAAGAGCAGCCACACATACAGAATTAACTACGTGAGCACTTTGCACAGTGAGTTGATTTAATACCCACAGTCACCCCGAGAGGTAGGTACTATTATTATTCCCATTTTTGTGTCCCATCTCACTGAACACTGCCCTTACCGTGACCCGAGAGGCCCCTGCGACCTGCGCCCTCTACGTCCTCACCCTCTGCCACCTCACTGTTCCCGTGCTCCTGCCACGTGGCTTCCTCACACTCCTCGCCCATGTTAATCGCACTGCTGCCCCAGGACATTTGCATGAGCTGTGCCTTCTACCAGGAGAGCCCTTTTCTCTCTTTTTTTGACATGAGTTTTTTCTTTGCTGCTTCCCTATGTCCCAACTTCATGGGGCCTTTCCTAACCAACCTATATAAAACGTTTTTCTTTATCATTCCAGAGCCCCTTCTTCCTTCTTTTCCCTCAATGCGATTTCTCTACGAAACAATTTATTTATTACGTCTCCCTCACTAGAATGTAAAAATCCATACAGAGGCAGGGATTCCGACTGTCTTGTTCTTTACCTGCAGCACTAACAACAGTGCCTGGGCCATAGCAGGTGTGCAATGACTCTGAGCTGGATGAATGAATGAAATCTCACCTGCACAGTGCATCTTGCGAGGAATACTCAGGGACGTGAAAGAAAGGCGATTCATCAAAATGCTCTTTTCCCCTTGCAGTCCCCACCTGGAAACTATGTTTCTCACCTTGGTCCTGTCCCCACACTTGGTTTATACCACTTGCTGACACCTGTCATTCTCTTGGGCAATAAGACAGGGTGAGGAGTCCAATGCCTACAGGGGTCAGGCAAGCCAGGGGAATGAGTGACAGGGGCTGGGGGCTCCAGGGAGCTGGAGGCAGCATGTCCCACCTGCGGACGTTCAATTCCACTTTATAAGGAAACATGTTCAGGCCAAACACATCGTGTCTGCAGGCCTTGGGAAGCCTTCCTTACCAGACCCTGCGTTCGTGCCTTGTACTTGTTCTAACTCCTCTTCTGGGAGGCAGGGACTTGGGCGCCTTTTCTGAATCTTCCTCTATGGCTGCACAAGGCAAGAGTGGAACCAGGCTCCCTTGGGCCCTGTCCCCACGCCACCGCGGCCAGCGATGTGGCCAACGACTGCGATTCCCACAAGGTGTGCACTTAACTAGTCTATCTTGACGACAAACAAATGGGAGTACTGGATTGAGCAGGGAGAAAACGACAGAATGCCCAGTTAAATCAGCATTTCAGATAAACACGTAATTTCTTCGTATAAATATGTCCCCAATATTTTAACCTTACCAATAAAGACGCTTAACTTCTCTGTGACTCAGTTTCTTTATTTGTAAATTAAGGAAAACCATGTCTTCCCCATGGAGTTTTATGGGGATGAAATGAAACACTCTGTGTACAATGTGTAACTCGGGGTCAGGGTCTAATTAACGGTTCCCGAATGGCAGTTATTAGAATTAGCAAACTGGGCAACTATTCTGCTGTGATAACACGTTGCTCTGACAGCATTAGCTGCACCCAGGACAGTGCCAGCACATCCCACGTCCTCTCTGTAAGACTGGCAGGGCAGAGAAGCCCCCCGCCACCTTGCCTTTGCTACAATTCCCTTTCTCTTTTGCCCCCTACTTTTCCTTCCTTCATCTCCCCTCACCAAAAGCCTTGTCCTCAGAGGTCTGAACGCACCCCGTTGTGAAGTGGGCTTTCAGCAACAATCTGGATAATTTAACAGATAAGTGCCTGTTTCCTAAAATCTGGGCACCACTTGGGCTGGTCCTGTCTGCCGCCAGGCCTGGCACGCGCCCTGGCTCCTCCTGGGACAGCAGGGGAGGGAGCCCTTCCCAGGGGCTGGGGTGACTTCAGCACTTTCCGTTCGCATGCCAGGGCCCCTCTGGGCCTGCCCCGTCTGGATATCCTGCTCTACACGGACTGTGGCAAAAATGAAGCATCGGCCACATTTATACAGTCACTAGATTAGCTGCTGCTCGGCTGTGACTTAGGAGAATCCAAACCAGTGACTTCTAACACCAGATATTTTCAATTGCTTGGCTTTGCCATGCATCCATCCTATTTGTGAGGCAATTCTTTCCTTACAGTGTTTTCTAATGAACGATAAATTGCTACATAGAGAAATGGAGAAATCAAGGTAAAGCATAAATAAAAAAAATCACTGGTAATTTCTCCAGTCAGGGACAATCGTTGTTAACATTTGCATAGGCCTTTGTAGTGTTTTTTTCCTATTCACTTTCTTTGGGGAAAAATAAAAACCTATAATAATATTACATATTTAGATTTTGTATTTTTTCATTTTACTCTCTTCTTTTTATTACACAAGTGGTACATATAATTGTAGAGAATAAAAAATGAGGATAAAAGTAAAAAAAAATTTAAATCTCCCTCAATTCCACTAGGCAGAGGTCTATCTATTATGAAAATTTTACATATATCCTTTCATTCTATTTCTGTGTACAATTATATAACTGTTTTAAATAGACATAGTAACAGTGTTTTTTCCTAATGATATCTATCTATTCCTAAAAGTATATCATTTATAATTGTGAGCATTTAAAAATTAAGGGTATAATAATGGGAGATTTATTAGTAAGTTATAGAAGAGTCATATGGAATTTTAGAAGAATATTTAACATTTAGGAAGCTATTCCTATTAAGTGTTATATTATTAAATAAAAAACTGGCTGCCAACGATATATGACATTTGTGTTAAAGAAAAGAACCCAGATTTATCCACGGCTCTTTGCTGTTTTCTTTAAAAAAAAAACATTAACAATGGTTCTCTCTGTAGGGAACACTTTTATTATCTCCATTTTGCTTCCCTATTTTCCAAATTTTAAAAATAATGAACACATAACTATTTTTATAGCGTGTATACTAAATCAAATATACCTTCCCTTCTCATCATAGGTATTAAGAGAGAAGTAGGAATACAGGTAAAGCAATGATTTCATCTCGCAAATAATTTCAAGGGCTAGATCCACAGTTGAATGTTGGTTTTATTTTTCACTAAAAATTGTAAAGTTGGAGATATATTCTAGCAGATAAGCACATTTTAAAAAAAAAGATAATTGATGGTGCATTCAACCCAATTCCCCATGGCTGGGTTGCCTAGAGTCACTCCTGACTTTATTATCACACAATGTTTCTTGACTCCCTTTCTTGGAGCTTTGTGGATAAAAAAAGTCCGAGGAACATGTGGCTGTTACTATGAGTAATGACTTTTTCTATCTTCTGGCTGACTCTCTGAGTAGTTTATCATGACTTGTGGCAGCTTTTAAACACAATCTTATCATCTATCTTCATTTTCTCTTTCATACAGTAATTCCAATTGTCTTTCATTAATTTTCGCATGTTAACCTATTTGGCTGGAGGGGAATTCTCAACCTCAATATTAGTATAAAAAAGAGAATCACAGAAGAACATGGGAATTTTTCTTATAAGAATCATTTGGAGATGCATTTGGCATATGAAGTAGCATCCCAAATGGGAAGATAATATCCTTGTTAATCAAAAAACTATTTAAAAACTCAATTAACAGAACATTATGCTATATAATTAATCTTCATTGCATTCCACTGATTTCTTTCCCCCATCCTCCAACAAAGGAGTTAATATGCCTTTGAATTCTATTGTAATAATCAATAGGCTAAATTTCATAATATAAAGTAAGCTAGCCCTAGCAGACAATCAGACACCTTCTCTGCCTGAAGTGATTAAGTCACACAAAATCGTCAGAAGCCTTTTTTATACTAAGCAGTGTTGAGTCTGCAGAGCCTTTGAGTGAAACTTCAACAGCAAAACTAAGAGGAAAGAAACTGAACCAAAGTCATGTGGTTTGGCTTTCAGGAGACAGGGTCAAAAAAATAGAACAATAAATACAGTTATGAGAAAGAATTAAATGACTTGGAATCTGGAAAAACAGATGAGTGGAAATCTGGTCATGTTGAGATAAGGCATGCTTGAATAACTCTAAAGTGGCTGTTTTAGAATTGTTATTTTTTAAATGCGTACACTGGCTTTATATTTAAGGGATTTTTAGTTCACATGCATTAAAACAATCCCCTTCCTTCTTATTTTTTATAAAATTAAAATAAAACTCATTGTTAAAACTTAGAAAATAGAGTGATAAAAGAAACTCATTTATAAGTCACCCATAATGCATCATCAAAAATTAATCACGGTAACCCTTTAGGTGCGTTTCCTTTTAGTCTTTAAAAATGCTAATATATGTTTGATCATATTACATGCACAGTTTGCATTTTTTTCACTTGACCTATGAGCATTTCTCTTTCATTATAAACGTAGGGGACAGGCAAATAGCAAATCCCTAGCTTTCTGATTTCTACTGAAATGTGCACTCCTCACAGACTCACACACAGGATGAAGTGGACCACTCTCCAGCTGATTTGCTTGGGAGAGGGTGTTTAATTCTTATCCATTAATCCTCTTAATTGTTATGCTATTCAATTAGCACCCTTTAATATATGATTTTATTCTCAATTGTTTGGAGCATAGATGGCTTCTTTCAGCAGGGGCTTTAAGAAACTTCAGGGTAGGTAATTCTGCTGAATAAGGGCTTATACCGAATTCACATGGCATCTGAGTCTCTATTCAACTCCCAACCTTATCTCTCTCCGACCTATTTATATCAACTCCCCCTAAAACAACAAGTGGTGTTAGATGAGTATAGAGGGAGGAAGAGAAAGAAACCACTTTTTCATCAGTTCTTTGGTGAGGTCCCTCTCTCTTCCTGACCTGTGCTGAGAGAGCTTGACTGTGTCAGAGAGATAGAGACCCCCCCCAAAACCCCAAAATACATCCACAGGGATTCATAACTTCTATTCGGTGTGCCAAACTCACAGGAACGCACGTTTCCTGAAATGTGTTCCCGGAAGAACATTCAGTGAATCTTAAGAGAGGAAGTCCCATTACAAGAGCACCTGGAAATAATTTGCATTAATTGAAGACTGCAGATAACGGGGTCTCACGTCATTCAGCCAGAAATTTGCGCTATTTAAGAATAACTGCTGTTTATGAGGGCCTACTCTGTCCCAGGCCCTCTGCTGGGCACCTCGTAAGTACTGTTGCTAAGTTTTCTGACAGCCCGCAAGGTGAAAAAAGAAAATTGAGTCTGAAAGAGATTGAAATACATGATTGAGCTGACTGTGTCTCTGCAAATACCCGACAGGAAAAGTCAGTTGCACGTACCATTAGTAGACAGAAGGAAGTAGGCTGCGTTCTGCTGAGGGAGCCATCTGATTTTATTGATTTTTTCTTCTATTTCTAAACTCTTCAGGTAATCGAACTCGGGTTCATGGCTCTGGAATGTGCTGTAAACATTGTATTCACCCCTACGATGAACCTGATTTTTACTCTGTAGGAAGGGGAAAAAAATACACCAAAGATGAAATCACATGAGCATCTCCAGATTCACCAATTTCTTACTTTTCTTTCTTTGAGCAACATCATCAGGGGTAGGATGGGCAGCCTTTGTCCACGTCGGATGAGGGCAGGACTGTGAGTACCCCAAGTTTTACCTTAGCTCAGAGGCCTCCAAAGCATCTGATCTTATACCTCTGTTGGTGAGTATTAGTACCTCCGATATACATATATTTATAAATTATGTGCATGAAATATATGATGACGGTACACCTCATAACATACACATAGGCTAGAAGTTAAAAGAGAACATAATTTTAAAATCAATATAAAATTTAAAAAATCAATATAACTAGAAGTTCTGATATTTCCTTTTTGCGCCCTCATGGGTGTCTTGAACACCCCTGGGTGTGAGCCATCCCGCCCTGATGTCCACACATACTTCTATCAATCCTTTACAAAGAGGACAAGGCTATAGCCTCCATATCTTTCATTGGCTGTTTAAAATCTCACCAGATTCTTACCGACTCTCTGAGAGGGAGGCAGAGGAGAGAAATTAAAGAGCCTCAGAGATAGCAAGGTCGCAGGACTTCTAAATAGTAGACTTGGGCATCGGCTCTCTCCCCAACCCCACCCCTCTTTTCTAACGTGGGCAACAAGACAGACAGGAGGGGAGATCAGGAGTCTTTACCTCTGGCTTTCCCTCAGCTCTGATTACACAAAGTGCAAACAGCAGGAGCTAACTAACTGGGAGAATGAACTGCAAGGGAACAGGGTTTGCAGAAAGGGGCAAGACAGAGAAGAAAGGTGGAGAGAAGGAAAAAGAGGCCGGGGGAGGAGAAGAAAGAAAGGAGAGGAGCGGGGGAGGGAGGTTCCGCCCGCGGCCTCGGAGCCTGACAGCAAGAGTGCCAAGAGCCAGGCTTTGGAAAACTGCGCTCAACAACTCAAATGCAGGTCTCCTTAGACCTGTCATAAAAGCTTGACTCTTAATAAAGGCTCTAAAAATTCTATTTCTGGGTGGATCCTGAACATCCAAACCCAAATCTCGCCTTCCCAACAGGTACTAACACCCAGGCGTTAAAAATGACTGGGGAAGGCCCTGAGGCTCGCTCCCACAGCACACCCTCCAGGAGGCTGCCTCTTGAGAAGTCACTCACGGGGGTGGAGAACAGACTTGTCCTAGGTGTTGCCACGTGGCTTTGTTTCTCAGGTTTAGCGTCCGTCCGTTTCAACCCCAAGCCTCACCACAAAGCTAAACACTTAACGGTGCCTTATTATGCGGGACATTTTTTTTTTTTTTCACTTGAACTAGACCACCCTCCTTTGGAAAATGTGTCCCCTTCATTCTACTAACGAATCAGGCTTCCCAAGTATTTCAGTCCATTAAAATAGGTGAAACCTGTACACAGTGAATGGAAAAATGTGGATTGGAACATTACCGACAACATGCTGCCCCGGATAATTTATGCTAAATAGCTTCTCCAATTCCTCTTTATCATCACTATGAACTTAATTGGATTTTTTTAAAAACTGAAGATGAAGGTTTGAAAACCAGCGTTAAGAGGATTTTCAATGCTGACGTACTTGCGACTAGCCTGCCTACCGCAGAGAGAACCAGTCCACCTTAACAATAAATTTATATGAGTGTTGATTTGGTACCATCCAAATCAGACTGTCAGTGTGTGTAGTATGTGCCAGACCAATTAGCACTCGGCAGCTCTGGAAAAGCAGGAAAAATTCCAGGTCACGAAGAGCTATTAGTTCCTACTTGCCAACCACATTTCCGTGGTTCCAGGGCCAATGGAATAGGCTGGGTGCCTGATTTAACGCTGAACACTTGAATTTATACAGAACCCCGAGGGGTTCTGATGCCCTTATAGAAATTAATTGCAAATAATGTGCAATTACCAAATATATCACCTCTAAATGAGGCTTTCCTTTTCCTTTTTCTTTTTTTGACGGGAGGTGGAACATAAATGGCTTTGAGGCACAAAACAGGCTTTCAATTGCTAGGGAAGCCTCTGGTGAGATCTTCCTCCGGCGCTGGGCCCCCCCTGATGCTGCACTGGGCAAATCCCACAGGCAGGTCGCAGCAGATGGGAGCATCACTAGAGCACAGAGTGGCCTGCTGGAAGCGCTAGGACTGTGCCAGCCGAGGCCCAGGGAATCAAACCGGGCGTCATTCCATTCCAACAAAACAGAGGCAGACACCCCCCACAACTCAATTTATATGAAAAAGAGAAACAATTCCTAGTGGACCCTCAGTCCCGGAAGCGACGGGCTTTGAGAGATTCAGTGGAAGTTAGGACGTCTGCTCACAAAGCATACAGCGTTCAGCTCCCGGGACCTTGGTGTCACCTACAGTGAAGCGAGTGCCCCCTGCATTGCTCAGATGTCATTCTGTGGCACTGCACTCCCTTTGGTGGGGTGAGCTATCATTTTCTTCTCTACTGACCCAAGCTGTCCTTTCACAGCTGTTGGCAAAGAATGATTTTTTTCCCCTACGTATTCTGTAGGAGAACCTGAAAAGAGGGGAGATTTCATTTTAATCACTCGAGGACAAATTTCACTCCAAAAGGAGGAGCTGTGCTCAGAAAGCACCCTTGACATTTTGCAGCTCAGAGATGTGAGGTCGTGAGGTTGCCTCGAATGTGCGATACCCAGGTTTGAAAAGACAAGGCTGTGCCCACGAAAGACTATTTTCAGGTGCTTTTACAAACTGTAGATGTTAATGACTTTTTGGCAGTTTTTAGTCTGCTAGCAAAGCAGCAAGGTTAAGGGCGACTCGTGAGGATTAAAGGACCGTAGGAGGCCTCCTTTAAAAAGGGAAGAAAGGGGGCATTTTGCATTCACTTGCCACTTACCTCCTGCTCTCGTTGAAATATTACAACCCGACCCCCCTTGTCCCCTGTCGCTAGTAATTCTCCCGTGTGGTTGAATTCTACCGTAGAGATAATGTCAGCTGAAAAGAAGAAGACAAAGGCAATTTAAGTAACTGCACACTTACTTTGAAATGGTAGATAATAGACATACTTTTCTGCGCATTTAAAGGCTCAGGGCTTTGTGTCTGCAGTGGAATTTACAAGGGTTTTATGTTCTGTATTTCAAGTGCCACTTCTAGTGGCACTTGGGAAAGTAAATTTCCTAGAGGCCCACACTGCTTTGTGGTCTCTTGGAACATCTGTTGAGAACAAAAGGAAAAAGCACATTCAGACCCTTTAATTTGGGGCAAGAGAAAACAAATTTCTTTAAGACCCAGGGAAACGGCAATTTTCTTTGATAATGTCTACCAGCCACAGAGCCTGTACCCCATCCTGGACTTTGGGCATTTCCCCTTCTTCGACACCAAGGCGCCTCCCCAGGCAGGTTGCAGTGGTGGCTATGCAAATGAGGGCTGGGGACTGTGATGAAGCCAGGCTAGGAGGTCTGGAGCTCAGATGTGGAAATTCACTGGCAACCTCTGCAAGTGGGAAATTCAAGGAAGGCCCCCCGCAAATGCTCCAGCTTGACCCTTGCTCTCTCTTTTCGGGTGAGCCCAACACCCCTTTAGGGAAGAGCCTGGCCTTCTTGCAACCCCAGGGGAAGGGTGTTGAGAAAACAGGGTCATGAGGTCAGAGGGGAGAGGGCAATGTGTCCCCCGCATTTCCAAAGAGAGAAAACACACAGGCGCCAGGAACTCAGATCACAGATAATTGATGGAGGAATGCCAGCCCGCCGAGTCTTTCTTCAGCGATGGTGACCCCCAGAGGGATAGGACAGGTAAATTACCTATGATTGGATTTATTAGGGCTATTTTTAGAAAAATGTCAGAGGTTAATTCTTGTGCAATTATTCCCCTGCAGGGCTCCGACAATTGCTACTGAGAGTTCAAGTAAGTTTTGGTTTTGTTTTTTTTTATAAATAGGGGGCAGGGGGGTTATGACTATGGCCTTTGATGGAGGAACATTCTGAAGATTTTGTCCACGTGAGGGAAGCAAAGGGGAAACAGTGAGCTGGAAAACGAAGGCAACGGCCTCTGAGTAACTCACATCTCAGATCTTTAATATCATCCTTTCAGGATACTCTTTGTATGCCTGATTTATTCACGTAAGCAGTGCACGATGCTCCACCTCACGTATAACTGTCCTCCATATGTGAGAATGCTCCTAACAGTCACTCTCTGTGCAGAAGGAAAAAGACTAAGGCATAAGCCATAGTCCCTTTCAAGCTAAAAATAATGCGGCACATTTAAAAGGACAATTCATGATTTCTTGTTTGGGCCTCTTAGCGAACTCAAAGCTCCCCAGGGAAAAAGGGGCCAAGGTAACCCGGTGAAGGAGAAAGCTTGTGTCCCCTCTTAGGGGACAAGTGGCTGCTCAGTTTAAGCCAACTGTGGCCATGAACTACTGCGAGCATTGCCGGTGTTCTGATACTTTTAAAAAGAAGTTGGGGGCCCTGGATGGTGTGGCTCAGTTGTCTGGAATGTGGTTCCAGAAACCGAAAGGTCGCAGGTTCAGTTCCTGGTTGGGGTGTGTAGGGGAGGCAACCGAGTGGTGTTTCTCTCTCGCATGGATGCTTCTCTCCCTCTCTCTCTTCCCCTCCTTCGCCTGTCTAAGCCTGTCCTCAGACTTGAGGATAAAAAAATAAAATTTAAAAAAAAAGTAGGAAATCCAGATTTTTATGCAAACTCTCTGAAGTTTTCCAGATGGGCAACTAATTTTTTTTCAACACCAGGATATTAAAAAAATATACACCTGTCTATGGGCTGAAGATGGTGTGTGAGTCACCTGTTTGTGACGTCTGGTCTACAGTCTTCCTTTAAAAAAGATCACCCGTTCCTTACTCAACCGGAAATCTAGTCCATTCCCCCAGGAAAAGCCCCCCAGCTGAACACTGCCCTAGGGAAACAGGAAATAAGCTGCGCGGTTATTCAGTTCCTAAGGTGAAGTCAGAAGGCCTATTTTTATGAGAAGTGCGCACTTCGGAAAAAGCAAGCCCAACAGGGCTGGGAAGCCAACCGCCTCCAGTGAATCATTGGACCCCTTCTCTTTGTTACAGTTTGTGCATCTTAGCACAGCACTCTCACGCACGGAGGAGAGCAGGCGGCTGTTGAATGTCTGCAGTCGCCTCAGGCTGCTCTGCTTGGAAAGCACCTGAGTTCTAGGATACACTCCTTAGCTACTGCTTCTGGCCTTCCAGTGAGTGGTTAGCACTGGGGTTATTCACGGAGCTTCCTGACTTGGGTACAACCTCAGGGAGAAGTGGCTGTTTCTTTTTACCTTCAGAATTCTGTCAGGACTAAGGGGTGAGTCAAAGCTCTCAAACAGCTGAGAAAAAGGCTAGCGGGGAGCAATGGGAGGGTGGTGCGGGGACGGGCCTGGGGGGAGACGGGCCCGGGGGTTCCCGGCGCCGCGCTCCCATCCTTGGGCAGCTGATGCTCTTCCTCTCAGCAGCAGTTTTAACACAGACTCTGGAGTCCTGGGCGGCCTTCAGGGGCCACGCACTGGGAACTAAAAGATGGGCCTCTCCTTTTGGTAAAGTTGGGTATCAGAAGCGTTAAGTAGCTTTTTCCAAGGTCAGCCTCTGGCTCAGTTTCCAAGGGTGTGGGGAACAACACTCCCTTTCTCAAGGGTGCCATATACATTGTTTCTTTGCCCAGACTTTCTGTGAAAATGTCTTTATTCTCCCTTTAAGATGCACGCAGGTCAAAACAAGGTAGGGCTTTTGTTCTTTAACTCAATAATTCTCAGACACGGATCTGCTCATTTATTTAAACCACTCATCACCACACAGGATGCATAAAGCATCCTTTCTGGCTCCGTGAAGGACACACCCTGAAAGGTTCCTGCCCTCCAAGTCACTCCAGCTAAAATGTGCACCCCTCCTTGCCCCGCTGCACCCCATTTCTACCACCATGTTCAAAAATAACGCATCTGCTCTCCTGCACTCAAGCTCCTACCAATGAATTCTGCCTGCTCTGTCTATTTTTATTCACTATTCCCTTGGCCTTTATAAAGGAATACATTTTCTTTTGTATTTGCTACATGTCTTTCACATGTGCACATTACCCATATTACTTAAAAATTGTTAGAAAAAAAAAAGACTGGGCCCCAAAATACCATACCTAGAGCCCTTATCGTTAGAGTAACACCTTAAGGTTCAGACATCATCCCCAAGATCCTTCTTAAATGCAACTGTTGCTTGGAAGCTATGGCACATTTTAAATCATGAGGAACCATACATATGCCATTAGAATATTGGTCACATATAAGAACAAAAAATTGCATCCTGGAAGGAAAATGATCAAAGGAATACTGCCTGCTAGAGAGCGCACGTCCAGGCAAGATGGTGCAGTGGGGTCGTGACCCAGTCAGGACCTAACACAAGGGCGCCAGGTGTGGGGATTTGGAAGAGCCAGGCACAGGAGAAAGAAAAATAATCATAATCAATACACACACACACAGAGAAGGATTCAGGCTCAAGTCTAAGCCACGCGATTTAAGCCAGTATTATCAGAGCTCTGCAGTATGGGACATCAGGCATGGTCCCCGCTAATAAAAACGTCCCTTTTGTTTTCCAACTGTTATCAGTACTCAGGCTATGTTGCCCTCAAGAACCTTGTAAGAGAAAGGATGATGGGCACGGCGGGATTCTGAATTTCCTTAGGCCTCTTTGCAAGTCCTCACTTTTCTTATACCCCTGCCAGCCAGAGGGTCTATATATTAGGTTGTTTACAGCTAGCCATTGTCTACCGTCCTTCCGAACATTTGCCATTGCAGCTCGAGTTAAAGCCTGATGTGAACTTTCTTGTTTCCTGGCTCATTTATCACTGCTAAGCCAGTAGGTGTAACCAGAATACGTTACTGCCCCATCCATCTCTGTGTATCTTCATCTATGACTGTTTAATAATTGATGCAAAACTCATGAATCATCCCACATTCCAATTTCAAGATACTGAAACTTCTGATACAAATTCTCTTGTGTGAGCGTCATGCTGTTTGGTAGAGCAGTTTCAATTGGAAAACTTAGCCTCCCTAACACAAAACAACTTTTATAGAACTAGGATATGGCGAGAAAAACAAACTAGCAAAATTAGAGACAAGAGTGTCATCTGAAATCATGGTCAAGAGAAATCAATTCACCAAGTTCAACAACATTTTGGCCTTTAAATGACCAGTTCATATAACACAATTTTATTAAATGCCTAGCCTTTCATGTTGTTGAGCAAAAAATTTTAAACAGAGCATTTTTCCTCTGTTCTACAGACTTGTGGACCAAGTGCACATCTTTGACTAAAAACAAGAAAACTGAAGCCAAAAGCAGTTACAGAGGTCAAATGTAGTTAACGTGATTTTTAAAGGAAATAGGACATTTGCCCTGTTCCACATCTATTTGTGTTGATTTAATTTCCACAAGATGGTGGCCCGGTAACCCCATTTCTAGTTCAATGGGCATGGCTCAGACCAATTTTTTTCTTTTTAAAAAGTAATCTCAGCATCCCACAAAGGTCCCAGGCTGTTAATTCCATACATGAAGTCTCCCTTTACCTGAATAATGGAAACTGACTTGGCAGTTCTATGCATGTGACGGTGAGGCGGGGGATAGAGGGCTCCCCGCGTCTGTGCCCTAGTTGCCCGCAGTACCACGCTCGGCTGGAGCCTGTGTAATGCCAGCACACCGGGCTGAGGCAGGCCCCTGGATCAGTAGGCTACGTACAATTAAAATAGCACCAAATGATGACTCAGCTGCAAGTTAGAGAGGACCTAAACTCAGCCTCTCTGAGGGGACAAGATCTTACTGACCAGTCAGGTCGCTGGTGTCGGCCTTCTCAGCATCAATCCTAGGCAGAGGGATTGAAATGAGAGGGTGATGCAATTCAGCCTTCAGGACCCATTAAACATTTTATCTTTCATCTGAGACACATTTGGTAGATAATACTATAAAGTGTTTTACCCTACTTGAATCCGCTAATTCTACCTACTC